GAGCTGGGCACCAAAGCAAAATGTGGTTGCTTCAGCTTCATCACGTATTGCCCATCCTTAATGTAAAATATATATCTGAAAAGTTATTTATGTCATGTAAATAGTGCTGCTTAGAGTTAACAGTTATGACATCGTGGTCTATTCATCTGCATTGCTTCAAAAGAAGAGTTTAAAAAGGAGAAGCTAATCCCATTTTAAAAATAGAGAAATGTGTTATGTATATCAAGTCCATAGTCAAACCCTGCTAAGAAATGTACTTTTGTCAAGAAAAGTAAAGCTACAGCATTGCCCTGAGACACCTGCAGGAATTAAAAGGAAAATACTGCCAATTAGTTCATTGTGCTTCCTAGTGTGGAGGCATTTTTTCCTACAATTGCTTTCTTGCGTTGCTTAAGAATCTAGCAGGAAACTAGCCAAAGTAACATTATGCTTGGTTTCATAAAACATGGCAAGACAAAATATGACTTGTCTGTGGCTTACCATATGACGCATATCCAGCGAATGAGTTTTGTAAACAATGGCTTAATATGCATTAACATAGTCTATACGTTACATTTTTATACGAACTGAAGGGGCAGGAGAGAAAAGAAAAACAGAGATCCAATTAACAAACTGCTTTAATATCTTCAAAGTTCTTTTTTTTTTTTAGAAAAAGATAAATTGCATTATATGGAATGCCGAGAAATAGTCAAATATACATTAAAAGCAATTCTTAACAATTCAGAAATAGAAGTCAAATAGGCCAGCCTGGACAACTATTACCACTCTATATCAAATAAACATAGAATTACACAAAAGTAATGATGTGCCCAATTTCACATTAACATGTTTTTTTTCTAAGAACTCAGTTACAGAACTAAATATTTAAGTTACTAAAATTGAGCTATTATAGACTTCATTTTCATAAAGATGCTATTTTTGCTGTCTGATTTAAAACAGGAGAAGAATTTTATTTACACAAAATTCCAGCCCCCAACATTCATATGTACACAAATTATACAAATTAGAAACTGTTCTGGACATGAAATTATTTAGCAAACATGCTTTACTTGAAAAATGATATCTAAACATTGGGTCTCGCCTCAATTATTCCATTTTGTCAGTCTACAATTGAATAGTGAAAGCACTCTTTGCTGACACCAAATAACAAAAATAATTCTAGTTTTTAGTAGCTTTATTGAAGAGACTCTGGAAAATTGGACAACAGTGTTTCCATGTATCACCTGCTAAACCTCAAACAAAAATATTTTATAAAACAGTTGAATACTACCTTAGCATGCTGTAGAACAGGGGTCCCCAGCCCCCGGTCCGTGGACTGATACCGGGCCGCAGCAGGCCAGCAACCTGTCCGCACGAACAAGCAAAGCCCCATCCGTGGGATGCAGGCAGCACACAAAACCACGCACTCTCCAGTCTGTGGAAAACCCTTTCTCCACGGAACCGGTCCCTGGTGCCCAAAAAGTTGGGGACCTCTGCTGTAGAAAGTTATTAAAATGGAGAGTTTTGGAAATATGTGATATATAGTAGTCTTGACTTACGACCACAATTTGGATAGGAATAAATTGAGCAGTGGTAATTAAACAAGATGTTTTGCTCAATGACTATAATCCTGACTGGAGTCATTAAGTAATTGTGCAGGTTGTTAAGTGGAGTTCCAGGTAAGGAGCACCAGGTGCCTCAGGAGGAAGGAAGAGACCCAGAAAGGCTCCAGTCAGAAGCTGAAAATCCTCCTTGCCAAAATCCAAGCAAGATTTGCATGAGACACTCATGCACAGCACTGGGTTTCCCCCATCCACCTATGGCATCCCACACTTCTTTCCTTACTAATTTGACTCTTCATTCTCTACTTGGATTTCCGCCCCCTCTCGTCTCTGGAGGCTGGCTGAAAGGAGTTCAGCTCCCCTCTGTACATGAAAGGGAAATCTTTCAACAGGGTAGAAGAATGGAGCCGAAATCTTCACGATTTTAGCTCCATTTCTGCATCTGCTGAAGGGGTTCAGCTTCCCTTGGGAGGCAGCTCTTTTAGACCGCTCCCAGAGATGAAAGGGAATCCTCTTGGCAAGTGGCAGCAGCTTGCAAACCTTCCCTGCTGGCTTCCCCATTGACCTTCTAGAAAAGCTGGCAGAGAAGATTGCAAATGTCCATCACATAATCGCAAGGCACTTGGCAATAACCTGGTCATAAATATGAACAGTTTGCCAAGCACCCAGATCAGGATCACATGACTATGGTGGTGGTGGTGGTGCTGCTGCAATGTTTGCAAAGGCCAGAAGTGCTTTATGGGCTGCAAAACACCCTTTCCAAGGCCATTGTAATTCTGGACTGTCATTAAATGACAGTTCTAAGTCAAGGGCAACCTGTAAGGCAAATGAACTGAGGAAGCATAGGAAATTCAGGAAGTTTTCTTCCCTATTGTTTAGGGAATACTTGGTCATGATCTCTTGGCTGGAACATCTAAGAAGTAGAAGTTATTATTTTTATATTTATTTCAATCATTTTTATTACTACAGTGACACTTGAATTAGAGTTAAATTTATCATAATTAGGGTTAAATTTATCATAAAACTATGTCTTTGCCATACAGCTGTCAAATTTTGGGGTTAGTGCAATGGGAAGAATACTAGCTAAAAAAATGCTTACTCCCTGCTTTAATGGAAGTTAACATTCATTACGTTCATTCACGGAATTCCTATCTTTTTCTACTTATGTCAAATATCTGCAGCAATAACAATGATCTATAGGAAACGTAAGAATAATAAAAGACAACCTAATGTTCTTGTCCCTCAAAATCTATCTGTAAGATAAATATAGAGGGGTGGAACATTTAATAGTAATTTATTCTTAAATATGAAGATTATTTTGTTCACAGTTCAGTTTTTACAATAAACATAATAAAAATAAAACAGCAGTTGAAGTATGTGAAGAGCCACCAAAAAACAGCTTTGGCAACACTTCATCTTTTCCTGTATGATATCTAAGCAAAGTTCCATACCTTGCCTAATGTTCTGTATTTTATTAAAAGTGTTTTTAGCTATAGCCTGGTGGCATTTTGACTCATTGTCCATTCCTACAGCTGTCAACATATAACCTACATAGGCTAAGCCAAACAAGAGTTAAGTAACACACAACAGAAAGTTGATGTCATCTTTTCCATTCATAATACCTCTTGTACATAGCACTTTATTAGCCCAAGTAGCTTTCTCATTTAAGACTCCTCACGTCGATCAGAGATTCCATTCCTCAATCGGTTATGCCTCTCCACAGAAAGCCGCTGAAGATCCTTCCTAATGTCTGGATAATCTTCTAGATCTTCATATAATGAACGAACAATGTCTAACTCCCTGTAGTTTCCTGGTTGCACTAATGTGCGGATAACTTGCAGACATCTTTCCTTTAGAGTGAATACTATGGAGAGAAGAATGGACTTTTAATGCTTGGCTGAAGGTATTCAAAACTAATGTGAAACAAGCTTAAATATCAAATAGTCTTATTAGCTATCAAAACAAAAGTCATGACCCTCCATGATAAATTAGTCTAAAAAAAAAGGGAAACAGCAACAATTATAGATACTGTTTAAGAACCAGTATTTATCTACTTCCTCAATTTCATTCTCTTTATTGAGGTGTATAATTTTAAATGTAAATATTGTAGGAAACACCTAAAACATATGGCACATCAGATAGTGAGGCAATTATTTATAGATCATTATAATGTTACAGAAACATCTTACAGATATTTCCCCCACGTTATTATTTTTTCAGTGCCTTTGAGTCAGCACTGACTCCTGGTATCTGCCTGGACATGTCCATGCAGTTTTCTTGGCTAAATTTCAGAACTGGTTTGCCTTTGCTTTCTTCCTAGGGTTGAGAGTGAGTGACTACCCCAAAATAATCTTAGCTGGCCTTGTGCCTAAGATGGGACTAGAAAACACAGGCTCTTGATTTCTAGCCTGGTACCCTAACAACTAAGCTGGCTCTCCTACCGTAACTATAATAAAGCACTTTAAATAATATTGTATTTAGCTGCTCACAGGATTGAAGATTTGCTTGTGATATAACAATTCACCAAAATAAACGAAAAAAAGATTTGTTAGAAGAAATGTTGGACTTCTACCACTTTCAGATTCTCACTTTCAGATTTTATCTAACAGCTGTGACAAGAAATAGCATCTGATTTGAAACAGATTATTAATGAATCAAATATTCTAAGGCAGAGATCCCCAATCTGTGTGAAACTTGTAAAAAAGTAAGCATATATGTGCTTTTGCATGCAGACACTGCTTTGCTTTTTGCTGAGAACTTGATAGATTTGGAGTGAATTTTCAAGATTGTAAAAAAAGGCAGATTCTCTTTAGTTCTGAAGATAATTTATTGAAAATCAAGACAGTTGTAATTGAGAGAGAAAACAGACTGAATAATTGCTAGTTACATATGAATGTGAGTAATTTGAGTAAGTTGATGAATTTGTGTCAGTAGAATGTTTTATTAAAGCAGGAAACATAGATGGACAAATTTTAAGGTGTCCAAGTGCTGACAGGCAGGTAATGGGCAGTATGTGATATCTTGAAATAATGGACATTTGTTGAAAGAAATGAAAAAGCTATGTGTAAAAGGATAGTTCTGACCACTTTGTTATATGGAAGTGAAAGCTGAGTATGTTAGGAGAAACATAAAATTTGAATGAAGTGGGAATGAGATGCTTAAGAACTGTAACTATATTCTTGTAAAACAAGAAAAGATGGAGTGAAAATGAATGCTGAATGTTTACTGAATCCAAAGTAGCACACTGGGGTGATTTTGTCCTGTAGAGAGAATAAAGAAGGACTGAACAAGAAATACATGAAGGAAGAAGGAAAGAGATGAGGGGGAAAGGAAGACTAAAAAAGTTTGGTGCAGTTGACGTGAACCTCAAAATGAGAGACATCAGAAATTCAGAGAATTTCAGGTGTTGCTTATGTCAGACAAAAAGAAGAGAGCCAAACTGCTATTTAGCAATTGCAATGTTTTTCATCATACAATAGAATAAAACTATACTGTAATCTTATTTGAGATATTCACTGGTAACTTTACCTGGCAATGTAACATTTGCAAATATGGGTTGTCCATTTGTATTGCGAGTAGCTACAAACAGCTCCGTCTGGTTGACAAGGAGACTATCACCTGACCTGGCATCTCTGAACAACCAAAGATGTTCTGGAAAAAAAAATAAAGTTTACTAGCAAGTTATATACATATACTGAAAAGTCACATATTTTTGTAGATACAAAGATTGCTGGAAGGCAATGTCTGTAATTTATTGGGTTTAGTAAAATCCACAAAGATTAAGACTTCTATGGAATGGGAGACAATTACCAATATGAGAGGATTGTCAGAACCAGAGTGACACACAAGTAACTATGCAGATACAGTTAATATTTGTGATTGTGTTCTTTTGAATCACCTTGACTCCTGGTGACTACCTAGACAAATCCCTGTTGTTTTCTTGGCAGCATTTTCAGAAGTGGCTTGCCCCTGCCTTCTTTATAGGGCTGTGTTTTGTTTGGCAGCTAATTTGACTATTATCCATTATTACCCCAGGGTTTATTTCTTTAATTTCACTTCTGCTAACTGCAACTGCCAGCAGTTTGGCAGTTTGAGTCTCACTGGTTCAAAGTTGACTAGGCCTTCCGTCCTTCTGAGGTCAGTAAAATGAGGACCCAGATTGTTGAGGGCAATATGTTGACTCTATAAACCGCTTAAAGAAGGCTGTAAAGCACTGCGAAGTGGTATATAAGTCTAATTGCTATTGCTATCTTTCCATTTTTGATAAAATACTGCATGCTATTTTTGTTTTTACACCATGTTGGTTATTATTTTTACTGGTTTTGATGCTGCAAGTAGTCCTGGCCATTTTTATATTTACACTGAAATACAAGAAGATACCCACAAGCACACCTTTATAACGAAAATATTTTCCACAATCAGTCCATTGAAAATGCATTCATAAGGCTTTCCTGCTTACCCTAGTGCAGGAATAGCCACTGTTTTTTGGGCTCAGAAATGTGCCCTGGCATTGTCAATTTGCCCTGGCAACTACACATGAAGCTTTGCATTTGTATTGTTTTCTTAACTTTTTTTTTTTTTTTGCAAAAAAGCTGAAATTGCCTGGAGCTCTGCCAGCTTCTCCTAAAAGGAGAAACAACATCTACTCAAAAATAGACCTGGGGGGGGGGGGAGAGAGAGTAGCATTTTCTTCACAACACAGATGGGAAAGATTTAAAAAAAAAAGGGAAATCCACCAGGTCAAGGCTATAGCCACTATTGTCTAGACCAGGGCTTTTCAACCAGTGGTACGGGTACCACCTGTGGTACATTGGCACCTGGCAGGTGGTACGTGACCATCCTAGAAAAGTGGTAGCGGGGGAGGGGAATGAGCTGCACCGCTGGCAGCACGCACAAGCCTGAGCGAGAGATGGCTGGAGCTGAAGGGCTGTCAGGGCTCAGTGGAAGCGCCAAGATCAGCGCCAGGATCCAGCTGGAGCTCGGCGCTGATCCTGGCGCTTCTGCTGAGCCCAGAAGAAGCGCCAATCAGCTGGAACGTTGCAACATCTCCAGAGTCTTGTGATTTACATTCAGATGCTTAGCATCTGATTCATATTTATGACAGTCAGTGTCCCAGGGTCATGTGAAGTGACCAAAACCTGCTGCAACCACCCAGCAGATGGGGGGGAATAACAACCAAACACCCCCCATCCCACCCCCCGCTGCCAATCCTCAACAGAAATGCTCACAACAATGAAAACCTCGGACAGGAGGAAGAGCGCCGCCGGGCGGGCAGGCAGGTGTCTTGCTCGGCTGTGGCTTGGGGGGCACTTTTTTCAGTGCCACTGTAACTTCGAACAGTCACTAAGCGAACTGTTGTAAGTCGAGGACTACCTGTACTTTATCACTTTTTCCCTTTTTTTGTCATCAAGTTTTTGACACCTTGCTAGGCGACTGGTGGTACTCAGATGTTGCCATATCCTAAAAGTGGTACAGTGGGTGAAAAGGTTGAAAAGCCCTGCTCTAGACATGTTCAGTATCATTGCAAAAGCTGAAGGCTACTTTTTCCCAGCTTTTCAGCAGAGAGAAACACGTTTCCTCGCCCGGCGCTTTTATGTGCAGTCTGAAGTCAACCGAAAGGCCAGCTTGTTTAACAAGACCTTCCTGTTTAAAGGCTAACCCTGCAGACCTCATGACCTCGGCATCATCCCACGGCTTCTTGCAACCCGTTGCCTCAGGCAGAGAATCGGGCATCTCCGTCTTCCCCCAGGGCAGGGTTTGGCAACCTTGGCTCTTTTATGACTCGTGGACTTCAACTCCCAGAATTCCTGAGTCAGCTATGCTGACTCAGGAATTCTGGGAGTTGAAGTCCACGAGTCATAAAAGAGCCGAGGTTGCCTACCCCCTGCCCCAGGGGCTCCGGGGAAGTGAAAGACTTCCCCAATAAACATTTTGCAACGTTAACCCTTTGCAAGGTATTACAACCCGACAGCGGAAAGGCGTCGATCCGCCCGTCGCGCCACGTCCGTTAAACCCACCGCAAAGCGTTTTAAGCCCGCAGCGCGCCCTCCGCAAACTACCCACCCAGGTAGCTGTACATCCGGCGGCCGGTGCCCGGTTTCAGGGTGGGATAGGGGCGCGGCTTCCCGTCGAAGTCCAGCCAGACGGGGCTCACCAAGCGGGGGGTGCGGTTGCAGAAAATAACTTGGCAAGGCTCCCGCGTGTTTACCGAGCACAGACGCCGAGCAGCGTCCTCCCGTTCTCGCTCCTCCTCCTCCTCCTCCCCAGGTCTCTGCGGCATCCTGAGCGCCTCGGGTCCGAGCGAGGGGGACGTCCCGCCACCTAAATCGGGGAAGACTTTAAGCGCGCAGATGCCCGCGCTCGTAAGCAGCCATTATTTTGTGGAGAAACAACTCCCGCCGTTCCACGCATGCGCACCCTCGGCAGCCATTGTTTTGCGGAAATCGCGTGCCTTAGACGCGAAGGCCCCGTAAGCGCTTGCGCAGTTCGGTTATTCTGGAGGGTCATGTTGTATAGGCTGGTGTTCGTTTTAGGGGGAAAAAAACCACATATAACCAGGGTATAGACAATGGTGGCTATAGCCTTGACCTGGTGGATTTCCCTTTTTTTTTTAAATCTTTCCCACCTGTGTTGGGAAGAAAATGCTACTCTCCCCCCCTCCCCAGGTCTATTTTTGAGTAGATGTTGTTTCTCCTTTTAGGAGAAGCTGGCAGAGTTCCAGGCAATTTCAGCTTTTTTTAAAAAAAAAAAAAAGTCAGGAAAACAGTACAAATGCAAAGCTTCATTTGTAGTTGCCAGGGCAAATTGACAATGCCAGGGCCCATTTCTGAGCCCAAGAAACAGTGGCTATTCCTGCACTAGGGTAAGCAGGAAAGCCTTATGAATGCATTTTCAATGGACTGATTCTGGAAAATATTTTCATTATAAAGGTGTGCTTGTGGGTATTTTCTTGTATTTCAGTGTAAATATAAAAATGGCCAGGACTACTTGCAGAATCAAAACCAGTAAAAATAATAACCAACATGGTGCAAAAACAAAAATAGCATGCAGTATTTTATCAAAAATGGAAAGATAGCAATAGCAATTAGACTTATATACCACTTCGCAGTGCTTTACAGCCTTCTTTAAGTGGTTTATAGAGTCAGCATATTGCCCTCAACAATCTGGGTCCTCATTTTACTGACCTCAGAAGGACGGAAGGCCTAGTCAACTTTGAACCGCTGGCAGTTGCAGTTAGCAGAAGTAACCTGCAGTACCACATTCTAACCACTGTGCCACCAGGGCTCTTGAATCTAGGAAATTAAAGAAATAAACCCTGGGGTAATAATGGATAATAGTCAAATTAGCTGCCAAACAAAACACAGCCCTATAAAGAAGGCAGGGGCAAGCCACTTCTGAAAATGCTGCCAAGAAAACAACAGGGATTTGTTTAGGTCAGGTGTGGGATTGCAAAATCCCGGGGTCCCACTCCCTGCAGGACGGTGGTGACTCACGTCGGCCTAAACCAACGGACCTCGCTTCAGGTTAGGAAACACACGGACAACATGCTTCTTCAGGTGAGATGGCAGGCGAGATCCAGAAGGATCTCCGTGCCTCTCTTTTATTGGTACATTAGCGTCATAAAGGGGGGGTGTACAAAAAGACAATAGGGGGATGGCTCTTCATTGCCATATATGAAGTACACAAAGGACAGGAAACTTGAGATTAGGAGGTATTCATTCTTTGAGGTAGGCTTTTCAGGAGAAATGAAACTTAAGTCAGGAAATGAAACCTAAGGCAGGCTTCAGGCTTTTCAGGAGAAACAAAACCTGAGTTAAGGAACCAAATGGATGCAACAGTCAGGGGTAGGCAACCGTGGCTCTTTCATGACTCGTGGACTTCTACTCCCAGAATTCCTGAGCCAGTATGGAATTCTGGGAGTTGAAGTCCATGAGTCATAAAAGAGCCAAGGTTGCCTATCCTGGTATTGCTGCTTTGCAACAATTGCTTGAAAGATACATTATAATCCTATAGTAAAATGGTTACTAGTAAGAGAATATCATTTAGCTGAGATTTGGATTAATCAATTGTGGGAAGCAATGATGAAATAATAGAGAATTTTAAAAAAATCCCAGCACTTGTTATAAACTATCTGGTTAGTTCCAAAAAGTATTTTAATTCACATTTTTTTAAAGTGCTCTGAAAATTTACTGGCGGCTATTACTATAGTCTACTCTGACGAAAATAATTTCATTATTATTATTTTGTGTTTTCCAGGTGAGTTACAAAAGTGCATAAAACATGTTTAACAACTCATAATAAAATAAAAAGATTAATCTTGCTGCCAGATAGAGTTAATGACTGTGCCAAATGGTGCGTAATCCCAATATACAAAAATGAGAAATGCTGTGAGCGCACAGGTCGTGAAAGACAATGAAATTTTCATCTATATCCCAACATCTGGATTGTTTGCACCTATTTACTTATATCATAGTTGTCTAATTATCCACATATATTTTGGGGGAGGAAAAACAATTCTTTCCATTCTGGGACAAAAATATCCTGAGAACCACATGGTATCCATTGTCTAGGTTGTATGGCAGAGTAAAATTGGTATTTTCCCTTCTTTTTCAAATAAAGCCAAAGCTATAATATAAGTAACTGAAGTGAGGAGCTTCAAAAGTAGCTTTCAGTACAGAATGAGCTTTTTCATGTAATTGCAGAAGAGGGCCAGTCAGTAACAACTTCTGATGTCACCTCTTTCGCTTTAGCCATCTTTTCCTTCTTTTATGCCCCAGGTGTAAAACTCAAATCGCATCACATGACATATCATGACATATCGTGACTTTTTTGCCTTTGCAGAGCCGGGGTGGGCATGGCCTGCACATGACACATCTGGCCCACAGGCCGCTAGTTTGTCACCCGTTTTATGCCATGCACTGTCATTGTCCTTGCTAATGGTTAAGAATAAACATTTCTTAATACTGCATGGATTGTGTAATATAAAGTTATGACTGTGAACTGGCCTAACAATGATATAGTGTTTTAATCATGGTTAATAGTTGATAGCAACTGGAATATGCAGCATTAAATGATGATGGAGAAGGGAGAGCCATTTCTCCTGCCTTGAGCTCCCGGAGGAAAGGTGGGATATAAGTCCGTTTCTTTAAAAAAACACACAAAAAAAACCTCATATCTTTCTAGAGAAAATTTATCATGGGGCTGAGGAGAGCTGAACAAAATAAGGAACTTTTCAAGGTCTTTTTCTCTCAAGCTGTGAATTCTTGAAACATTTTATAATTCAAGAAAATTCTTAACTGAAAATTTAACACCAAGGAAGTGAATTGGTTGAGTTTACTTTCAGAAACGTTTAACTTAAGCTCACATCAAAAGAAAAACCCCATTCCTTTTGCAATTTTGAGATAACTATTTACAAGGAAATTCTTTACCTTGCTTACGTAGTCAGGAACCCCTTTTTACAACACTGAAGGCTGTATAATATTAAGAGCCACCTTTCCTTGTTGAGTATGAAGCATAATACTATATGAACATGCACTCAAGGCAACTTTTTAGCATGTGCCTGTGACATTGGAGTCCCAGATTCAATCCACTTTTAGCTATGGAAGCTTTTTGAGTGCAGTGGAGCAGCTCCAGATGCCACTGACTGCCAGTCCAGGCTACCTCTTAAGGTTGTTCTTCAGGGGGCAAAAGAAAATAATAAATAATATTTATTATTATACAATAAATATAATAAATATCTAAATGTACAGCAAAACTCATGCTATAAGCACATATTAGCTGTTAGGGCTTAGCTCTTATGTTTGCAATTAATTTTAGATCCCAAAAGTATTTTCTTTGCTACCTACCTCTAATAAAGTGGTACCTCAATACTGCTTAAAAGACATGCTTCTTACCTTAATCTTTTTAGAAGGAACAAGATAGTTCAAAATTTATACTACTGTAGCTGTACTTTCTATAGGAAATGCCAGGAATACTCTTTATAGTATTCAAAACTAAGAAGAAGGATTAGATTTAAAGTTATACGTATTAAGCTATTGAGATATCACTAATTAAAAAGTGCCCAATCACATCTGGTTTCAAAATTCTTCACTTTCAAAAGACATTTAATTAGGTAAGTTTTTCATTTATAAAAGGTTGATTACAATGGGGCAGAGCAAGAATCAAAATTGATTCTACGCCTCCTTTTCTCAAGAAAGCTTCATTAGAATATATTTATCGTTCAAGAATTTATTTAATATTTAAGAGACTGAATATACAGGCTTTAAACTCTTAGTTATATAAAAGAAATGTACATAATTGTAAATATGAATAACAGGTTTCTGATTTTCTCTGAATTATGGTGTTAATTATGAACAAGTAAATCTAAAATATGAACAAGTAAACCTAAATAAACTGCCTTACAAGAAACTGCTTGGTGGTTTGATATGTATGGAAAAGAAAGGACAGGTAATCCTTGTAAAAACTTTATTATATACAGGAAAAAAATATCAACAACTAATATGAGAAGCAAAGAAAGCTTTGCAAGAGTATGGAATAACAAACTGATGGTAAGATGTATATTTATTGTATAGATCTTGTTAATTTGGACCATGTTCGAGAATCCTTACAAGTTACTGTCATTCAGCTACTAAGCACATTCTTTAGCTATTATTTTCAGGTTAAAATTAACTGATGAATATTCTCATGTATCCTGCAAGTTCCAATCAACAATACATATAAAGTTTATTACTGCATTTTTTTTAGCCTGAAATTTGAACAATGACAAAGAAAAGTATAAAGATTCATACAACATCTTCTCAGTTAGAGCTATAACAAGCATATGACAGAAAACAAACAATTTAATTCTTACATTGAGACAGCAGATAAGGAAACAACGCTAGTGAAATCACAGTGTGTAATTCAGAGCTTATAAAAGTTTGTAAAACTGTACTAACTGTATTGTTCCTATTTTGGGCAATAAAGTTTGTAAAACTGTACTAACTTTATTGCCCCTATTTTAGATGCCAAACAAAATAAAATGGAGCCAATTGTCCAGTGGCAAAATATTATACACCCTCTTATCTAAAGATACTCTAAACTGAACAATATTAAAACAATCTTCTAACACTATATTTTGAAATATCTCTTCTGAAACTATTAGCCTTTTCACCAAATTGGGTAGCTTCCCTTATGAATATGAAAGGATTTGCACTTAAATTGACACAGTAACTGTCATTTTCAGGCTGACAGTAAAACTGCAAGGTTTATCAACTTACTACAATTTCCTATTTAAGTGCCTTCAAGAGCTTCAAGTTGGATTTGGCACAGTATGTTTACTCAGTAGTTCATTTCGCTGAACCCACTTAATTCTGA